TTCTGGTTTTCTCTGACAACAAAATCTCCAATTTTTAGGTTAAAAAAAGTAACCCAAAATCCACTTTTTTCCCCATGATTAAAATGAAACACCACACACACACACGCACACACACACGAGTGGTGTTTCATCATGATCATGGAAAAATATGGATTTTGGGTTACTTTTTTAACCTGAAAATTGAGTTTTTTGGGTTTTTTTTTAATCAGAGAAAACCAGGATCCCTGGTGATCAGTCACTTGAGACTGCTCCACTAATGGGCAGTTCTATCCTGATTCCCTGTCTTATCTCCAATTAAACTATTTTCTCCAGGGAATAACTGATTCTCTCCTGTTGCATAAATGTTTCCTTTCCCTTAAACAATTTATTTTTTATTAAATAATTCTGTAAGTATTTGTAGGGACCCAAAGCAGGCAAAGGGATGGAAGTAATGTCAGTCTCTTTATAGCTTCTTGCTTTCATCAGGCATGGACAATATGCTGTTCCCAGGACAGATGATTTGGCCCCACATACAAAGTTCTTAGTCCTTTTTCTCTCACACATGTTTTGTTCATAAATATACAAACCTTATAATGAGGGATCCTAGCATAATTACAAAATCACACAAGATCATCACAACTGAAAATAATAACTTGAGCTTAAAAGGAACAGAAATGACTAGTTTCAGTTATTTGCATAATCAATTTCATTACCTTAATGGAATATTCATGTTATTAACAACAAGAAAATTCTCTATACCTATTTCAATTACAACTCCACCCATTTCACTATATTAAACTGTAATAAACTTAATAAGTTGTGACTGTATAAAATGTCCATAAGGTTGTCAATATGGTTTGATGTCATGGAAGATGTACTGGAATGTAGGTGGTGCATTTTTATATGTGAGCGCTGTTAGCTCAGTGTATGCATTGTCAAATGCATGATAAAGGACCATAACAGGCTCTACTTATTCCTGTTGTGTATAAGGTTTATTAACTGCAATGTTCTTTTCCTACATTTGTAAAAAAAAAAAAAAAAAGTTTTAGCTGTACCAAAATCGTGTTAAAAATGCATAAAGAACAAAGGAGCTTTCTGGTTTTGTTTTTTATGGATTCAAGTCTTGAAGACTTACAGGTTGCCCTTCTCAAAACTTTGGAGGCTGACAGCAAAAGAGTTCCCCTAGTGCACATTCTGGAAGGGAAGTCCAGAAGAACATGAACAAAAGTTGAGCTGTCTTGTGAACCTACTGAGGGACAAAAGACCAGCAGCAAAACTGTACTACTCCCACATGCCTGAGGAAGTGCACAGGTGGATGGGAGTCCTTTCATACAGGTCTCTGAACATTCAAAGAGTTACTTTGCTGCAATGTTCCTAAGCAGCACAGGAGAAGAGAGACTAAGGAGCGAGGCACTTTAGATATTCTCCCTTGGCTTTTGAGCTCTGCAAGAAAGAAGAGCTTCTGATATTCTACAGAAAAGTAGGTAAGCCTTATTCTCATTTAGTAAATCCAAAGCACACATTTTTTAAAGCTATCCTCTTCCTCTAATGCCCTTGAACTTGGAGGAAAGTCAGAACGCTTTTCCCCTAACCCACAAGAAAGAGGTGAGAAAAGCACCAGTCTCTGGGCTGGGTCTGTAGCATTTGTGTAGAGCAACTCACATTAACTTCAAGGTGAAATGCTGGGTTGCAGCAGCGATGGAATTAGACCCCCTCAACTTCTGCTAAATCCACTCCCCCACAAGACTTGGAGCACGGACAAATGTCAAGTTTATACTGATGTAATCAGCATTACATTAGTTTTTAGGAAGTGGCTGAAAGAAGGCATAAACCCTTAAATCAGGGTAATTCTGGTCAAGCCTGCGTATAGTAAGCCCTAAAGGGATCAGCGTAAAACTCCACCTGTGTAAGGTACATTGGTTTAGGTGCTGCCTGTTCAAATCAACCAGGCAGCTGTCCTGGGGCCACCCGCAATAGCCACCTACTATGTGCCCTACCCTGGGATAACTGCATATCTGTCTGTTTCTGATCCCAGTGTAATCATCAGTGCACAAAAAACAATGTGTGTGACTGCTGTGATCATCTGTCCACTCTCTCTAAGCACTTACCTTTCTCACAGCCAGTTCCAAAATTGATAGGCAAAACTGTGTATTTGCACTTGAGAGAGAACAGAATGCTTCACTTGCATGATTTTGCTCTATTTATAAAGAGCAAAAAGAGCATCCATGAGTTCCAGGCAGTGCTGACAAATTAAGTACAAATAACAAAAAGCCCCAACTTCATCCTAAACAATTCCCTGACAAGCAAACCAATACTCAGCATTCAGGGCAAGGGAACAAGCTCTGAAGCCAAAGGGTATCCAAGGAGAGTGTCCTGCTACCTATCGTTATGACCAAGTAATAATTTGGTTTTAAATTAGCACATGCACAGGGTAATAGCTCTATCTCCGTTGGCACCATGAGTAAATCCAGGGGGTGCGCTTGCCACCTCCTTTGGCTGTGCAGTGCAAGTGGGCGAGCTCTCGCTGGCTACAGAACCTAGGGAGTGAAAGGCACTGTTGCCTACTGTCAGCATCCGGGGCACCGAGTTGCCTGCGGAGCCATGACATGGACTCTCTCCTGCCCTCCTAGTGCTCCTTCATCCCCCAGGCAGGGTGCACACCCCAGCCTGAGCTGTCAGCAGTCGGGTTGCTCCCCTCGCATGGCATAAACTAGCCTGTCCAGGAGTGCAGAGGCAGGACTGGGTGGTCTGTCCCATGGCACCTGGGGAGGCCGAGGCTGCACGGCTCCCTGTACCAGGTGGTGCCAACTCAGCTGTCAGGAAGCCCCACACACTACTGACTCTCTTTGTCCCTCACCCCCATTGGAGCTCTGCTCCATACTGTGCCTTGGCCCACCAGTGTCCTGTGCATAGTCCCAACCCATCCCACCACCATGCTCCACTCCTGCAGGTGGCCTGCTTCAAGCACCGTTCCCCAAATCTGGGGGCAGGCAGGGGGAAAGGGGGACAAAGGCACCGGTACTCACACTCGTTGGGTCCAAAGCCTTGCTAAAGCAGTGGCACCAGCAGCCACACTGAGGCCAGAGAACTCACTGCGAATACATTGTACAGCCAAAGTGGGGTGTAACTGCCCCGTACCCCTCAGTGCTTTTCTTTAGACTAAAGGACTCTACTGACTATTTTGTGCACAGTATAAACCCAGTTTTCAAACAGAAATCCAATGTCAAAAACTTTCTAAGAAATGCCTATTTCAACCTCCATAATAGCCAGAGTGAGGAGGAGGGTTCAGCTTAAAGATGCACCAGCAGAGAAAGAGATCATAGCAAATCAAGGCTGGAAGGGACTTCATGAGGTTGTCTAGTCCAAACCTTTGCTTAAAACAGGATCATCCCCGACTAAACCATTCCAATCAAGTGTCTGTTAACCCACTCTTGAAAATTTCCAGGCATGGAGATTTCACTACCTCTTTAGGGAGCCTGTCCCAATGCTTGACCACCAGGTAAAGGCACACTTCGTAGACTGAATCAGACGCATGAGGTCTTATGAACTAAAATTCTTGCTGATCCCCCACCCAAATTTCCTCTGCTGCTGAGGCCACTGCTCCTACTCCTGTCCCCTACAGCCACCGAAACTAGCCCATCTTCAGAAGCTTCACTAATAAGGAGGGCCTAGAGCTGGATTATTCCATTTAAAACAGGAGCAAAAAAACCCAAAACCTTTGGTGCAAGGTACCTTCATTTGCTATATTATATATCAAAACACAACAAACTAGGCAAAAATAACCCAAAGCTGTTGTTTCATTTACCCTGGAGTCATTACAGTTAAATATATGTCTCTTTTTCAGATTCACAAAACAAAACCAAGCCTTCTTGAGCATCTGGACAGCGCCTCCAACGCTTCACGGGAAGTGATTTTCACCCCTGAGCTTCAGTTCACTCAAGTTAATATTTCAACCCCTGACTTAGTATTTTTTCCTAGCATTAAAAACAGGTCGACAGGGCTGCAAGATGGGAGCGACATGACTAGGAGCAGCAAACTCACATATAACAACAACATGCATTGTTCTCCAATTAAAAAGAAATGAGAAACTTCACTAATAAGTAGGGGCCTAGAGCTAGGCTGAGCCGCCAGTGCTGCACGGGAAGTGATTTCCACCCCTGAGCTCAGGTTCATCTGAGTTAATATTTCAACCCCTTAGTGTGTTTTTTGCTAGCGGTAAAAACAGGGCAGCAGGGCTCTGAGCTGGGAGCCACGTGGCTAGGAGCAGCGAATATCACATATAACAATACAAACGCATTGTTCTCCAATTAAAAAGAAACGAGAAACTTCAAAAATAAGTAGGGGCCCAGAGCTAGGCTGAGCAGCCAGAAAGAGCCTCCAATGATTCACGGGAAGTGATTTCCACCCTTGAGCTCAAGTTCATCTGAGTTAATATTTCAACCCCTGACTTAGTGTTTTTTGCTAGTGTTAAAACGAGGTCGGCAGGGCTGCGAGACAGGAGCAGCAAACCGGCGGAAGGAAGGAGGGCTGGATCGGGGAACCATCCCAGACCATTAGAAAGAGGAGGCGGCAGGTCACACCGGGGCAGCGCAGAGCTCAGCAGGCCAACCTGTTGTGCCACAGGTGGTGCGTTTACACTAGACGCTTTCTGCGCAGTAGCCTAACAACACCAGGGTCAAAAACCGTGCTAACAGCCTATGGCGCAGCGTTATTAGGCTAATGCGCAGGAAGCATAAAAAAACCCAACACAAACACCGTGTGCCGACCGGTCTAGTTACTGCGCATTGAGTCCTTTATGAAGCGAGCGCTGAAGTAAGTGCGCAGTCTGTGAGGCGCGGCAATGCGCGTGCAGACACCCGCCAAGGGACACGAGGCGCCGCCCTCGAGGAGGGGGCCACCGGGACCCCGACCACTGACTTCTCGGGGCACGCAAAGGCGAGGAGCGGCAAGAGGGACAAGGAGCCCCTGACCCTGGGTGTTGCCTGGCCCTCAGCGCTCCGGCCCGGGGCTGCCCGCGGTACCTGAGCGCGTTGACGGGCGTGTTGTGCAGCCGGATGACGGCCCCCCACCCGCCTGTACTGCGCCATGCCGCCTCCGCACACGCCCCGCCCACACCCGGCAGCGCCCCGCCCGCGCCTGCCTCTGCCCGTCCGCGTCTGCTGCGGGGGAGCCGGGGCCTTGGAGCCTCGTCCCCCAGCCTGGCGCCCACAGTGATCTGGAGGCACAGACCATACACGGGATTTCACACGGGACAAGTGCAGGCGGAGCCTGGGCAAGAACTGGCCGGGCTGCAGGACTGTGGGGGTCAAGGTGGGCGCGAGGCAGGAGCCCGCCCTTGTGGCAAGAAGAAGCGGCCGGCTGCCGGCGGGGCGGGGCCTGCAGCAGCGCCGGTACAGACCCGGGGGCGCAGGCAGTGAGGGGGATGAAGGGCGCTGCCGCGAAGGGGCAGCCGCTGCAGGCTGATTCACTGCTGTTCGGAGGCATCGCTTAGTGCCCCGGGTCTGAGATGAACAGCAAGTTTCGGAGGCAGGAGGTGACACTTTGGGACTGGGAGGCTGAACTTGCCCCTGCCTCCAGCCCGCAGATACAGATGAGCTCTGTCAGGAAGGGAGTGGGGTAGCAGTCAAGCTGTGGGAGCCGGCAGCACTGGCTTGTTACTGCTGTATGGGGAATTAGATCCTGGCAAGGATGATCACATCACTGCTGAGATGTTCAGTGCTATCAGGGACATCTTTCTCCAAAGGGTCATGACTCCAGGCACTGTGGAAGAAGCGGGAGGTTGAGCCACTGGAGCTCCTAAACTGGGGGCGCAGAGGAGGACCAGACAGGACTCATATTCCCATGATGGTCCCTGGCGTCACCTTACCACAAAACGGCCTCAAGAGAAAGGAGGGCTTCTCCACAGTGATGCAGGCATCGGTACAACACAGGGGTGGTTGATAGGCATGGTTGTTGTCTGGTTGAGGAAGGTCCACAGTACTTGTATATGCAGGTACATGGGCTTGTTCCAAAAGCTGCAAGCAGGGCCATTCTCTCTGGATGTCTGCATATGCACTGGAGGTGTTGAAATGCAAATAGTCATCATGGGGGACCCCAAACTCTCTGCTCTCCTTACTCAGGAAGCAGCTGGCAATCTGAAGAGGAGCAAGGAGGGGTTGAACTACTGACTAAGCAGATGTAGGATGATGATGAGCATGCTGCTGGGTCCTTGAAATAGAGTCGGGTATGTCCGATTCAGCCGCACGGAAGCGAATATTCCCATGGTTGTGGGTGCCAGCTGCATATTTGTGAGACTAAAGCCTCATCACTAGGAAGCAAGAGTAATTCTGCTATCCACAGCCAGACATAAGGGCAATAACACCATGGTGTTAAGTTGAGGAAAGGCTTACAGGACACTTCAGTGCTGTGTCATGAGTCAGAACAGTATTTGCTTTTAAAGGAGGCAAGGGGTAGAAACATGTCTGTGCATGTAAGAACAGGGGATTTAGTGTGGAGTAAAGATTTTAGCTGAGGTAACAAACATCTGTGGGAAAGTGCTTAACATATAGGGAACAGGATGAACAACCTTGCAGGCAAACAACCAGACATAACAGACACGTTTAACAACCAACCTCAAAAGAGTTAAAATTGGAATCAAGTCCTGAAGAAAGAGAAAATACAGGATGTTAATTAGAGTGCTGGTTAGTATATGTGACTAAGCTACCAGTGCCAAGTGGTATGCCTGAAGGTGGTAGTAATTAATACCTGTGTTCATAGTATGGAAGGGTGTAGTGTTCCTCACAGAGCGCATTCTCTATCGTTAGGAGTATGTATGGTTCACTGGGTCTGATAGTCAATTAATTTCTGCCATGTTGCCATCTTTGGCGACTTTCCCTTCTGCTACTCTTAACATATTTCCTTTTCCTTCCTGTTTCCAGGGTGCATCTCATTTCACTGCTGCTTGGCCACACTGATATATTTAGTAGTTCCACAAATATATCTTTTGCAAGCTCAGCAGCGTGAGCCTCTTAAAGCCACCACGGCCTTGATATTGATTGAAAAAATGAATAAAAACAAACAGGAAGCTGGTTAGACTTCCAGCAGCAGCACAAGGGGAAAGATAACTATGTACTCCCTACAATATTTTGCTATAGTGCTGCAATAAGCAACCTGGTTTTGTGGTTCAGTGGTAGAATCCTTGTTGGCCACGTGGGAGACCTGGGTTTGATTTCCAGATGCACATATAACAACACCCATCCACTCTCCCTGTGCCCGAAGTAGCGTGTTTGTGTCTGAAAGCTTGCAAAGAACAATTTTTCCAACTATGTAGTTGGTCTAATAAAAGATATCACATTTGCCCAAAGAACTGTCATATTGAATGAAATAGTTTGAATGTTTGTAAAGGTTGCCCATTAGCCAGTTTCAGGAAAAAGATAGGATTTATCTCCTTATCTAAGTCATTGTTTTTGGGGCTACGTGTAAAATGTCCTGACTTCGGTTAAAGTCTTAATTTAAATTTTATCTTTAGAAGTCTTTTACAAAGAGAACAAATATCCTGAATTCCGAGACATCAAAGCCTAAGGCCTTTTAACCAAATTGGTAAGAAAAGGACATTTACAGTGATATGGAAGTCTCCCCAAGAATAATTTAAAATGCTCAACAAAGGTAATTTCAAAAAAATCTGTTGAGTAAGATCCGAGCCCAAATTTGGGAGTAGTGACAAGTTGAGTAGGAGGAGCCCACTGACGGCAGCTCGCTCAATAAAAACTGGAATTTACTGTCCCAATTTGGAGGTGACTTCACTTGCAGAACAACAAAGGAAGAATCGCAAGTGTAGCCCGGAACAGATTGATCACCTGAACCAACCTCTCCGTGAACACGAATTTCTTAGTTCACACTGAAGCTGCAGAGCGCCCGAAAGGGACTGAAGGAAGGGGACTTAGTCCTATCACTGCTGAGGCCAGCCTATTGAATCGTATTGCTGAGGCGAGCCCATTGAACCTGAGGCCAACCCATTAAATCGTACTACTGAGGAATGAAACCATATTTTGGTATTTGGCTTCTCGGAATTCTATGATTGTAAGTATATTATAAAAATAACAGTATTGATTCAAATTTAACTTTTAGTTGTAATTGTAGTTGTTTTTGTAACACTAATTCTTATAGCATTGTTTGGGAAGGAAGTGCATTCGGAGCATTGTTTCTGATATATGTAGTTATTGTGTTCTTAATGTTTGTGGTATTTCTTAAAGCTAAGCAGTGTTATATATGTAGCAAAGAATTTTAAAATAAAATTGTGTTGTATAAATTAAGTGCGTAATCATTGTGAAATCATGCAATCAGCTAACTACTCCCCCAGCCAGTGCATCAAAACGAATCAGTAAATTGTGTGGGATTTTCTCTATTCCATAACCCACTAGAGACAAGAACCTTGTACACCCATCGAGGTACTAAACATCCAGACTTGGTCTGGCCTTTGGATTCTGTCTCAATAGTCTAAAGGGGGATGGAAGGCCTGGGAAGCCTCCACTCTACACTCCTACTTAGGCATATGTGTTGATGGTCCTGGTGATCTCTCATGCCTACGCCATGATCCAGAAGGACTGATGGTTGCCTACTATGCAATAAGACAAAGTTGCCAGAGCTTGCAGAAGGGCCTGCTGTTGGACATGTTGCAGGACAAGCTCACTGCACCACTAATTCCTCTGTTTCCCAGGAAGGTAGAGAAACCAGGGTGTGTCATTCAAGGGGCTAGTAGCCAGGGCCAGCAAAGTAGAAATGCCAAAAAATCCTTGCAGGCAACTGTAGTTGTGCGTGGTATCTTGTTGCTGACAGTAAACAAGGCTCAGAAAAAAGCATTCTTTTATTTCTTAACTATATTATTATTCTTTTAAGCAAACATACTAGTTCTGTAATAGTTATATCAATTTGTGGTTGTATTTGTGTGAGATTTGGGTATTATCTCTGAAAAGTCACTGTAGATGGGGATTTTGTGCACTGCAAAGGCTATTGAACCCCACAAGGAAGAGCCAGGCTTTATGTGTTATGTACTCACCCTGTAGTGATCAGCAGGTTCAATAAGCACAGATGCACATGAATGAGAAGAACAACATGCTTTAATTTGTGGAGCAGTACACAAGGTCTGCAGATCCTTTGTCTGTTTCTCTCTCTGACAGGCTAGCTGCTCCCTGAGGGACCGTCTCCCAACCCCCAGAGTCTCAGTAAGGGAGTATCCCTAAATTCTAACTTCTATCGCTGCTTGCTCTAGTAGTGTGTGTCACCTATTCAGATACAGGCTTGTGCTCCTTCAGATGGGTTGGACCTTGCAACTCTGGGCCAGAATGGAGCAAAATGTCAGGACACCTGACCCAGGTCTTCTCTGGCCATGGGTAGAAGTATAGACTGCAGCACTGACAGTCAGCTTGCCAAATGCCAGCTCCAAGCTCAACCTGGACCCCCCCATGGGGTTCCTAATGGGAGATCAGGTGACCTGGGTGGACCCATGGAAATCAAAAGTCCCTGATGTGAGGATTATAAAACCCTCCCACTAGGAGCAAGGCCTCATCCAAGTAGCATTGTTAAGTGTCCCTGCCTCATGTTTGCATGCTTGCTCCTGATTGCAGACCCCCTGCCCTTGATCAGTTGCTTACCCTGACCCCAGCCTTGGCTTGACAATCTGCATCTTGAACAAAAATCTGGCTTTGACCTTGGCTTCCACTCCAGTAAACACCTGATAGTGTTGAACCACTTAAATTGACTGCCTATGCCTGGGTAAACTCTTTCACAAAAAGAGAAAGATTTTTTCTGCAGAAAATTGGCATGATACACTTTTTTTAAGGCAGGAGAGTCCATATCCATCCCCTTCCCTCTGGGCTTCTGTTGGTCCAGCTTCCAGTAGTCACCTGCTGCTTTGACTCTCAGCTCCATTGCTGAGGTAGTTTTGAAAGGGCAAGCCCACAGCAAAGAAATTTTACCTCCAGGGATGCTCCTGGATTCCCATTCAAATGTACAATGTCCAAGTCATAATTGAACCGATCCCTTCATTAAGCACAGTCAGTGTCTTTCCTATTAAACTGGGACTCCACA